TACTATGTAAAACAGCTGTTTTCTATGTGAATATATAATAAAATGTAATTTATTTCTGTGATGCGCAGCTGTATTTTCAGCAGCATTACTACAGTCTTCAGTGTCACATGATCTTCAGAAATCAGTATAATATGCTGATTTGCTGCTCGAGAAACATTATTATCAATGTTGAAAACAGTCAATGATGCTAAAAAATAACCCTGGGTCAAGCTCAAAAAAGCATTTTAAAAGTAGTTTAGTTTATTTCAACCATCTAATAGTTTTGTATCCTCAAAATACTGAAAATCCTCCTTTCTACTGTGGTTTTGAAATTAAATTCTCATATTTTTGCATGCATTTTGAGATGTTTAGCATACAGTGAATGTTTTCATACAATAAAAATGGATGCTTTATACTGTCAAACTCCTAAAAAGCATCATAAAAAAATGTACACAACTAATTTTATATCATAAAGTAAAAATATTGAAATCTCTAATATAAAAAATATGCATCAACCTCATATTTTAAATCATATAATGTGCCCAAAATAAATTTTTACTATGGATTGGAAATTTCATTCACATTTGCATGCATTCAAATGCAGTACGTTGTCAATGACAAGTGGTTTCAACAACTGGTGCACTATAGTTCAAGCCATTGTGTGCTCAAAGCATTGAATATCTTCCATTCTAGTGAAATTTCTTTCACATTTGCTTGTATGCAAACATGGTGCGATGTCAATAACAAGACCTGTGAGAAACACTTTTGATGTCAGTTCTGTTACAAAACCACAACGAGCTTCATTTGAGTGAGTGTAGAAACACATGAAGCGAATTTTAGTATAACATTATAATACCATTCATATTTGAACTTTTCTTTATAATTTAAAGAAGAAACCAATCCGATGTATATTTGACATTTGAGGCTTAATGCTATAGAAAAGCACTAAAGGTTTTTCAGTTAGAGTGTTTTCAGCTTGTTTATTTTTATATAAAAATACGGCATGCAGTTGCATAAAACAATGGTATAAACATCAATCAATGTAAATTGTGATAATCGTAATTAATAATCGCAATTTCAAGGGAATAATCAACAATTATGATTTTTGTCATAATCGTGCAGCCCTAATATAGAGGCATATGTTGACTAATGTTATGGAGTTTTAGAGTGATATTTAGTGAATTAAAAAAATAAATGAGTAAATATAAGCATATTTATATAAAATGTATCTCCATTGCATGCTTAAGAGCATTAAGTAAATGAAGACATTTTATTTTCTTAATTTTTCTTATCCTTTTAACTCAAAATATTCTCCCAGAGATGCAGACCGGTCAAGTTTCATCCACAAAATTGATACATTTTTATGTTTGAGATTGTTTTATGATTTATGATATGAAAATTAGTTTTTCATATCTTTTTTATGATGCATTTTTATGCTTTTTTTTATAGCTTGGTTATATATGGTTAATATTAATATTTCATATATATATTATTAAATAATAATAAGTAAATAATATTTTTTATATATTATGTACCTTTTTATGATGCATTTTTACGCTTTTATTTTTTTTTGGCGCTTGGTTGTAAAATTCACCTTACACTTTTATTGTATGGAAACATGAATTGTATGCGAAACATCTCGAAAGTATGCAAAAGTTATATTAATTTATCTCCATTACATTTATTTATTATATTTTAAGGTAAAGAGCATTAAATAAATGAAGACAAATTGTATTAATTCATTTTTTTCCTATTCTTTTAACACAAAACATTCTCCTAGAAAATTGGTGTTAATATAAAATTATAAACTATATTTACTTTTTAAATAATATTACAATA